AAGAGGTATGAAAAATACGACAGCTAGTTATTTTTTAGCTGATGACTATTGGAAGATATTGAATGATCATTGGACTAACTCAATTGGAAATAAGAAAATGAGATTAACTAATCTGTATAATTATGCTGCTTTTGAATAGGTCTTAGGTATTGTTTTAGTGGCAGAGTTTGTTGGATGTTTGATCGAAATGGGTTTTGCATGAAATAAAGAATTGATTTGTGTCGTAGGTGTTTTTGCCGGTATCATTTCGTTGAGTGCATGTGTTGATATGAAATTGAAATACTTACAAAGATTCTGTTCCTAGATGTTGACAAGGTTCATACATTTTTGATTGATGATTGAATTAAGTGAAGAATAAGTTACGTGTTCACTGAAGAGTTAGAATATATTTCAACTGATCTGTTTTTTTTGTATGGTTGAATTGTTTGTAAGATGTTGGAATTGATTTATTGAAAGAATTTATAGTTTCTTTATGATCCGCTTATATAATACGAGTATTTGACCTGTTGGGTTTGATAATTATAGAAACTAATTTTTAGAATTAGTGTAGACATAAATGGGTTTTTTTAATGCTTTCTATACGAAAAAATAAACTAAAAATAATACCAGTTTATATCAGTTTTATTTTGTATTAAGCTCTTTTAAGAAAAATACGTAAAAGATAAAGAAAAAAAATCATTTACTGGATATCGTTTACTGAAGAACTTTATTCTAACATCAATGTTTGCGCTTGTTTTGTGAATAACTAAAATTTGATTTTGCATCAGTCAGTGGAGTGGCACCATCTTGAGTATCTTGCTAGTTCTTTTTACTGTTGGACGTGAAAGATTTATTTTTCTCTTTTATTACGCGTTCAAGCCTTTCTTGATAACTTTCGACGAAGCGCTTTCATATTTCGATAGCTTAGCAAAAACGATAATACTTCTCCGTAACTGCTATTATTGTGAAGCAATGTTGAATGAAATTAGAAATTTTGTGAAATCAGCAGTAGATGAAAGTGGAACTTATTCATTTCTAATAACATATTCAAATTTGAATCAAAACTATGTTCAGCAGAACTCACTCGTGTTATTGAATTACTACTCAAATAATCTTGTTGAATTGACAAACGGCATCGTGTATTTCTTTTAGGTGACGATTTCAACAAAAAACAATGCAATTGTGTTCATTTACTTAACATAAGTGGCTTACATAAACTAAGTTTGTTCAACTAATCGCAGAGCTATCCAATAGATAAGGTTATCAATCTGTAACAATCACAGTCATTTTAGAGAAAATGCTAACCTTCTTTCACAGAAATAATCACAGATAACTGCAAGCAACTAAATAGATATACTATCATTCTCTTAACGAATCTGAAAAGAAGGAATTAGGTAGAACTTTTTATCGCCGCACAGTAAATATTCTTTATATAAATACTCATGAACTTTCTGATGAGCATTTAGCGTAATTTACGACTAAAAGTGGACAAATGAATCATTTTACTTGCTTAAGAAATTTGTAGACTAATCTAGACTTAAGAATAGAATAATCTATGGTGAATCTCAGAACGATCTGCCCTGGAATGTAAAATAGTTAATCCGTTTTCTTTGACTGTAAATTATCTATTAATAGAAGAATAATAAACCGTTTTTACATAATGGTAAAATAAACTAGCTTCAGACATATGATAATAAACCCTATTTTCTAATTGTAGAATAATCTACGCTTATGCATAGAATAATGAGACCTTTTCTTCTATTGTCACATAATAATGGACCACTATACTCCTGTAAACGTAGAATAACAAATTCTTTTTTCATCATCGTAGAATAATTTACCTCTCTGCGAGGAATAGAAGCTCTTGTGCCCACAGTGATAGAATGATCTACCTTTATATGTAAAATGATAGAACTTTCTTCAGTAATCGTAGAATAATCTGCCCTTTGTGTGGAGTAATAAACCTTTGTATCCATAATGCTAGAATGATCTACCCACAGACATAGAAAGATGAACCTTTCTTCTGTAATCGCAGAAACATCTACATTTATGCATAGTACAGTAAACCCTTCTCTTCATAACCGTAGAATAATGTATCTTTCTACGTGGAATGATAAACCAATTTGTCCACAATGGTAGAAGGATATACCCTTAGACGTAGAATGATAAACTCTTTTATGTATAATGGTAGAGGAATCTACCCTTAGGCGTAGAATGATAAACCCTTTTATGTATAATGGTAGAATGATCTAACCTCAGACGTAGAATGATAAGCCCTTGTATGTGTAATTGTAGAAGGATCTACCATTAGACGTACAATGATGAATTCTTTTTTTCTAATTGTAGAGTAATCTACCCCTATGTGCAGCTTAATAAACCCTTCTCCTCAAAATTCTAGAATAGTCTACCCTTCTGAATGAAATAATATACCCTTGCATCTATAATAGTAGAATGATCTATCCTTAGACGAAGAATGATCTACCGTTAGACGTAGGATGGTAAACCCTTATTCTGCAATCGCAGAACAATCTACCCTTATGCGCAGCAAAATAAACCCTTCTCTTCATGATTGTAGAAAATTGTACTATTCTGCGTGCAATAATAAACCCTTCTTTCAATAATGGTAGAATGATCTACCCTTAGGCGTCGAATGATAAACCTACTTTCTAAAACCGCCGAGTGATCTACCCTTCTGTTGTAATCGTTGGATAATCTACCCTTGCGCGTAGAATAATAAATCCTTTTGTGAACTCCATAGCGTAATATACCCTTATGCGTAGAATAATAAACTCTTTTGTGGTCCTCGTAGAATGATCTACCCTGATGCGTGCAACAACATACAATTTTAATGAAAACGTAGAATAATATACCTTTGAGGATAGAATAATAAATCCTATTGATAAAAACTTTGACTGATATACCCTCAACTACACATTATATACCCCTTTTATTTTCATATACCCTCATTGCTATAAACCCTTTCGTTCATAAACCCTTAAAGGGTATATGAAGTGGTTATAAACCCTTGAAGGGTTTATGGAATCGTTTTTCAAGTCAAAGAGTTGATTATTCTACGGATTCTTTTTTCATTGCAGTATTGTTAGATATAATTTTAACGACAAGTTTTATTAGGACATTGACTTTCTACAAAAAAGGAAGGTGTAGGTGTCGATGAGTGTCTCTTTTCTTGATACCCATACCTACACCCCATCATAGTAGAGATATATTTCCCATACGATGCTGTCAGCGAAATGACCGAAATACACTGTTTTCATATACCCTAGAGAAAGTACTGAGTTCAGGGTACCCATGTACTGAGAAAGCTCTAGCAGGGTACCCAATATGGGTACTTTGAAAATTCTCAGTAATTTTACTGATGTATGTACTGTTTGGGGTACCCGTAAAAGTACATTTACTGAATAAGTACCTGCATGGATACACAAGTCTGTAACTTTACTGAGGAAATCTCGACAGGGTATCCTAAATTTTTCGCGTTCTGTGTGGCGACTATTCATTCACCGTTTTCTTTTTTACGTACGGCTCTATATAAACAACTCGATAAATCATAAGAAAATAAGCAATTTTCATACTATTTTTTTCTAAATTATTTCTTGACTATTTCTTAGTCGAGGAAATGCCGAGCTTGGTCGTAAATTAAGATCGGACTACCCTGAAGTGGTCTACGACCAACTCAAGTTGAGTCGGATCCCGACATTGTTCTTACTAAGTTTTTGGAATTGAAAAAATTAAATTGAATAAAGTAAAAAAATCTAGTAAATTATCTCAAGAAAAAGAAAAAATTTTAAAAAGTCAAAGATCAGGTTCGATCCTGAACATACTGAAAATTTGGTAACAGGGTACTTAGAAATACTATACAATGGTACCCAATTCAGTACTTGATCAGTACCTTTAGGTACCCAATTACTGTGCATTTTCCAGCAGGGTACTTGCCAAAGTACCACTTAGGTACCTGTAAGTACCTGCAAGTACTTTGGTACCCAAAAGTTCCTGTGACATACTGGTATCAGGGTACTTTTTTGGGTACCCTTCTCAGTATATTCTCTAGGGTAGTTGCATGGGCTTGTCAGACAATGGGATATCTAATGACGGAAATCAAATTGATTTAAATTAATAAATGTTTATATTGAAGTGAATTAATTGTTCTACAATTAATATTAACCATCGGGTGTAGGGTGTGGGTGTAGGGTGTGGACGTGGATGTGGGGGTGCGGGTGTGGGCGTGGGTGGGTGTGGCTGTAGGTGTGGGTGTGGGTATGGGTGTGGGTGTGAATGTGAATGTGGGTGTGGGGTGTGGATGTGGGTGTGTGTGGGTTTGTGTATTCACTTCCACCATATCCACATCCACACCCACACCCACACCCACCCACACCCACACACACACACTTAGAGCCACACCCACACCCCACACTCACACCCACACCCACACACATACCTAGAGCCACACCCACCCACACCCACACCCACGCCCACACCCACAGTCACAGCCACACCCACATCCACACTCATACCCACACCTACACCCCCACCCCCACCCACACGCCCACCTCCACCCACACCCACACCCACACCCGATTAGGAACATTTTAAGTTTGTATTTTATTTAATGATGATTATTTTGTTTTGTTAATAAAAATTTTCTTTGATGATGAAGTGCTTGTTGATGATATCTTCTGAATTTCGAAGAAAACTTGTCGAATAACGTTATCCAGAATTAGTTTTTCAAACATTTTATTTTTCAGTCTTTAGTGATTATAATCCTATTATTATCAAACAAAAAGATGGAACATTTCAGTAAATATTCTATTCTCATATTCGATTATAGTGTTGATTTTTGTACGAATCTATATGAGACCATCGAGAACGAGAACCCATCACTCTCTTCCCAGCCTCTTCTTTTCGAACAAATTCATTTGTCTTATTCGATTTCTAAAAATTTTGTTTTTTAGAAAATATGGTCGATATTTACGTTAAAAAAGGTCTTATTCCTCGAAAAGATTTAACAATACATGAAAATATTTGATTAAAATTCAATAGTAGAACTAATAGAGGTGGTTTAAAGACTTTAAATTGTTCAATAAGACACCAACAAAATATGTTAATTCGTACACCTGAACCAGTTCGACGTAGTTTAACATTGGCAAATACACGTTCACCAAAATGATTATCTTTATATAATAATGATCGATCATTAACAGATATTTCAACAAAACATCAATGTGATAAAGGTATTGTTCGAAATTAAAGATGAATCATCGGTTATTAATCAATGAAATAATTATCCAACTGTATAAAATGAAACAAAAAGTCTTGAACGTTTTACTAATAGTTTTTGTTTATAAAGATTTTGTACGACAAGATCTTATTCTTCCAAGATTTTCATCATCACGTTCAACAATACGTAGAACAACTGTTACAGCACTTACATCAACTATTTCATTACCTGTTTCATCAAATCTAAATGAAAATAATTTAAATATTAATGAATAACAATTAATTAATTCAACAAATAGAAATAATATTAATAATGAAGTGAATATAAGATCAACAGTTAATATTTTGTTAGCTACTGGTGATGACGCTTTTCATATTTGACATATTAATCGAAATTTTAGTTTTTATCGAAGGTAAATTTAAAAGACTAATTGCTTGTTGATATATTTATCTTTTTAGTTGTCGATTGGTAGTTGTATCACCCAAAGATATTTTCGATGGAAGTCTAAAAAAATTTGCACGATGTCATAAATTTCAATGGTGAATTAATGAAAATTTTCTTTTAATTTTCATCAAATTTTTTCTTTTCTAGAGTTCCTTTTATAGCCTGGCGTAATCCTCGTACAAAGTCTTTATTATTACGTGGTTCTGCAATTTTTAATAAACGTTTTATTAATCTTCTTGTCAAAAGTAAGATGGCTTTATCAAGTAAAATTAAATTTCTTCTTAACATTCAAATTGTTTTTTTCTTTATTTTAGTTAGAAAAAAATTAAAATGATCAGTGTTTATATCATTGAATTTAGTGAAGATCATACATCATCAGTCATGATTTGTGTTGAAGATAGCTGGAATACAGCTGCTCAATTAGTTTCAATAAGTGAATTATTATTAGATCCATATTATTGAACATTTCAAGAATTCAAACATTAATTGAACATGAATGGTTTGCATTTGGTCATCGATCAAACCAAACAGCTGCAAATAAAACTGGTTTTGCATCAGTTTTTCTTCAATTTGTTGATCTTGTTCATCAACTAAGATTGATTAATAAATTAAAGTTACAAATTTGAAAAGATTTCTAATCAATTTCCAATAGAATTTCAATTTAATGAATATTATCTTCGTTTTCTTGCTTATTATCATTTATAAAATCGGTTTTAAAAATTTTATGCTTGATTGTGATTGTAAACGTAAAAAGATCGAAATTGGTATGTTGATACAATTCGTCATCCATTAACGGAAGATATTACTAGTACGTTTATTAGATGATATTAGTATTTATTTACCTGATTTTTTTTGAATGAAATTGTTTCTGTAAGGATATTTTGATTTTTTTATTGAAAAGTATTGAATTTATTTTCTAGAAAATGTCAAATACATTATAACATATTTTAAGTGTTATATATAAATCGCGCATTAAAAAAAATGAGACATAAGACATTGAATATGTCGTTTTATTCCTTGTTTGTTCACCTTTCTCATGAATAACATCAATAATAATTCATTCACATGTATTGTTCAATGGTTATGACAGAAATATAGTCGATGAAACTATGACTTTTTCATTAATTTGTAACATTTACATCCACCTATACAATCGTGTTGTATTTTTTCTTGATGCATGATTAACAATTAAACATCGATAATGTCAATTAAATTGTCATTCAACATCAATTTAATTTGAATTTTTCAGGCAACTATGATTATATTATAATGATTGAAAGTCAAAGATAAATAGTTTCAAGAAAAAAAATTCATCATATGCATTTAATCAGAATATATTATTATGCTGAATAAAATGAATAAAAAAGTATTCTCACAGATGGTACCATAAGTCTCTCTTTATTTCTCACTGAATAGAAAGTATCAAAACATAGAAACAAGTAAGTGGCAAAGTCTAAAGATCTTGTAACATTATTCAGCTTATATAAATTGATACGACGAGAAAATAATAATGAATCTAAATTTCATTCTCTGAATGAATTTATATGAAAAGTTTATCTTACATTTTATATAATCATTGAGTCATAAAATTTCGTCTTTCTTAGAATATTATTTTAATTTTCATTTAAAATGAATCACATAAAAAATATCGAAAAAGAACGTGTTATATCTTGAGATTATTTCATTTATTGGCAAAGTCATACACCTATATATTATAGGATTCATCGAAAAAAAATAATCCAGTAAAAAATACTCTTGGTCAAATATTGATTAGAATGGTCGATAAAAAAATCTGTGCTATACTTATTATTGCTGGTTTATTTTGTTTAACAAGTGTAATCATATCATTATATAGTATCTCTACTGCTGAATGTAAGTGATTAACTATGAAATAAAAATAGAAAAAAAAGAAGTTTTCTTATATGCTAGGGTCAATTATTGGTCCATACAGTATTGGTCTATTTCAGACATGTGCTGGTTCTCAATGTATAAAAAATCAATATGAAAATATAAATAATGAGACAAAATCACCACCAATATTTTTTAAACGATTTTTTAATGCTGCACCATTAGCTATTGTCGGTGTATTTATACAATTAGTTGCTTGTTTTTTCTGTTTATTTACTGCATTTATTTATATACCACCAAAACCTTCAATAACTTGTTATATTACTCCATTATTAATATTTATTGCTTTTCTTTTTCAATTAACTACAATAGTCGAAGCTTCACATGGAATACATTTAAATGGACGAAGTTCAATTGTATTCGAAGCAGCACTTGTACTTCAAGTTATTGCTATTACATTAACTATTATGGCGGCTGATCGAATTCGTAAAATAACTAATGTTCAATGTGTCTAAAATATATAAACATAAACATGTTGAATACTTGTCTATTTAAAATAAATATTTAACTGGAATTGGGCTTTATATTTAAAATAGTATTTAATTTGTTGATTAAACTTTTTTGACTTTGCTTATAGAATTTTTTCATATTGTCTCTATATATTTATATTTTTTTTTGTATAAACTCAGCAAAAAGAGAACAGAAAACCATGAAAGGATTAAATAAGAAAAAAATTTTATTATTAAATTCTAGAAAGAATTAAAATAATAATAAAGAAAACTAATTGTTTATATTCAATTTAGAAAAACTCAAAGATACATTACAAAATTTAAAAAAAAAAAGTTTGCTATTTTTTACATGATCTTGTTAAAAGATAAATATATGAGTTTAATATTCATTTAAATGATGTTGTTTCATTTCGAAAAGAATGTGAATGATTTTTAATTGAAAAATCATCAAAATATAGTTGATGCTCGAAATTCATTTTCTCCGGATAGATTATCAACAGAAGTTGACATTTCCTAATATCATACGTGTTCATCTGATGATCGTTTTATTTCTATATTAGATAATACACAATGATTTCAATCATTCAGTACCAATTATATAAAATCAAATAGAATTTGCTTTCAATATAACATAAAAAGAAATAGAAACTTACTGGAAAGTGAAATGAATAACTTATATTTGAATCATCAATTTATTGACGAAGATGTTAAAATTGAATGTTGTTCTTTCACAAACAATAAAGTATAGCCATCGTTAGCCAATACAAATATCAAGAATGAGAGATCAGAAATGCATGAAACTATCATTGAAATAGTTTAATCAAAATTTTCGCAATCGATTTTATCCTTTTGCAATCGTTAAAAATGTACTGAAAATTTGCATATATGATAAATTAGATTATTTACAAAATAAGGAAATGAATGATTAGATGGATTTTTTATAAGCCAAAGTAGCACGAGCTTTAGTAAATGTACTGAGTTCAAAGTACTCGTATACTGTATCAATAGAGCAAAGGCAGCGCGAGCGGAAGGTTGGGGGAGAATATCTCTTGCTTTGAGAATTTTAGCTCAGATTCTTCTCGTAATTTGAAGAGATTACTATGCAGTTTCCTTTGATTTTGAAGAAATATAATCGAACAAATTTTATAAATTTTCAGAAAAATTTTAGATTACTTTCTCCAATTTTTGGATATCTTCTTGCTCCGACCTCTTCGCATCGCCTCTGCAGCAGAGGATATATTTGCAAGTAGTCTATTGACGATCATTCCATTAAATGATTACTGACTAGAAACTCACCCAGTTTACATATCATTCTATGAAAAAGTTTTCAACAAATTAGTACGTTGAACTCTTAGAAGCATTTTTTAATTAAGTGCAAAAAAAAACCATAAGTACCCACAGGTTTCTGTGACGTACTACTGTACTGGTAGCAGGGAATTTTGAACTCAGTACATTCACTAGGAAGATGGTCACAATATATGTTCTTTTATGTTTTTATAACAGGATAAAACTAATTCTGATGATGATAACCTTGAACATGAACAGAAATTGAAATGAACGTCGATGCTTAGGGAGATGGTCAGTTTGATGATTCGATTTGAAGATGGAGCCACATTCACAGGCTTTAAATTAAAAATATTTTATAAAATTAATACAATTAAAATATTAATACTTGAAAAGGGAAAATCTTAGTTTTAACAAAATTAATATAAAACAAATAAAAGTTGCTATACGACAAGTTCAATAAGTCTAGATCAATGGCGTATGTGTATATTTGTTTAAAACTTGTAGAAAGTAACTATCAGTTGAGAGAATTTTGTGATATTATTTAATTTATCAATTTCCTGACATCATTCTTTTCTTCAAGAATGAGCCATCTAGATCCAAGGTATTATTTATATATTATTTATTTCTGAAAATATTCATTTTCTTTATCATTTAGTTCATTAGCTACATATAATTCTCTAGCTGATCCACATTTACAAAGTTACTTTAGTAATGAACGTATTCGATCTCACTTAAAACATGCTGGACTTGTAAATTGATCTTTTTTCTCTTAAATTTTTTTATTATAAAAAACAAATGACATTTTTTTTATTAAAGATTTCTGGTCGAGGAGAGATTATATCTGAAGGTGAATATCGATCAAAATTAGCACGACGTGATCATGCAAAACATGTTCGACATGTACTTGCTGAAAATATTGTAAATCGGTAATAAAGAAAATAAATTGAATTATTTTTGTTTTTCAATTGAAAATATTTAGAGCTATTGATATGGAACGAACACGACAGTCTGAAATAAAACGTCAATATGAAATAATAGCAAAAGCAGCTTTAGTGAATAATATTAAAGTAAAAAACTTATAAAAATATTCTATATAAACATGTAATTTTGTCTTAGGAAACAAGAAGACGTAGTGGAAATGTAACTGGATTAATGACAAATTCAAATGATATGGCTCTATTATCAATTGATACATCTTGTGCACAATTACGACCAAAAAGTGCTAATCAACGAAATGAAATGGTTTGTTTTTTAAAATAAAAATTCAACTAATCTTCTTTTTTTTTTCTATTTTTCAAGTACGATGAACAATTTCGTATTCCTCGTTTACAATCGGCTCATACAAGCGATGATCATCGTATAAAATATCCATCTATCACTCCTAATCGTCGTCGTCGCCGTCATCGTCGTTCTTCTCAACGACCAAAATCATCAAATATAAATCGAATATCATCAGCAGTAAAATATTTTTTTTTTGTTAAAATCTACATGATAAATTTTTCATTGCTTTCGTTTTTTGTCTTTTATTAATCAAGCAACGACCTCGTTCATCAAATAAATCTATGGATTCATTTACAACATCTCCGTGTCAAATAACAATGGTTTATTATGGTCCACATACAAAAATTGATTATGATCATTTAGTATTTGAACAAATTGATGAAATAATAGTTATGCAACAACATTGTGGAGGAGAAAATTTAATTGTTTATAAAAATCATCTTAAACCTGGAGGTATAGTTTTACATGTCGTTTTTTTTTTGTTTTTCTTTCATCAATTTTCAATATTAATTTAGCTATATTTACATTTGAATCTCGTCGTCATTCAGATTATCCATTTGGTTTATCATTATATGTTCAAGGTTTAATTGATAGTCGAATTTCAACATGTTGTGAATATAAACATCGTCATGGTGTTAAATTAGGTGGTGAACGAGGACATTTTGCAATTAAATCAGTACATGGATCAAAACCATGTGTTAAGTATGTTTTAAATAAATCAATTATTGATTATATATGTGTGTTTTTTTGTTATCATTGTTTCTATTAAGATGTCTATATGAGAAACAAGCACGTTTAAAAAGATATGCTCAATCACCAAAAGAAAAAGATGATAAATTACCAATAACGATTCCATTACCTGCTTCGGATGAATTAAAAATAAAACAAACTCCTGTTAAAATACCTGTTAGAAGATATAGAGATGTTGATAATAAAAAAATAAATAAAATATCTGACAGAAAATTTTCACGACGTACATCAGCTTCAAGTAAATTTTATTTATATAGATATTTAATTAATTTTATTTTTTAAAATTAATTATTGATTTAGATGATAATTATTCAGAAGATTTTGATGATTCAGATACACAAAAACGATCAGTTAGAGATGGATCTTCAACTGATACAAGTCATAGACGTATACATATTAATGAACGAAAATCTAAATCAAATGGTTCTAAACCAAAGGTTAGATTATTATTTACAAAAAAATTAAAATGATTGAAGATTATCTTAAAAAATTTCTTTTTTTCAAAAGAATTTTAATATAAAAAAAACTTTACTTCATAATTGTAAGAATAATTATTCAATATAATAATTAGTTTATTTATTCAAATCAAAAATGACATTAATATATATTCTTCCTTGTCATCTTAATTCTAATACAGACCTATAAAAGTGAAGGTATTCATTCGATATATACTAAAATTATAGATAAAAGATTTTAATATTGATTTTAGTTTTGAGATATCTTTTAGATCGATTTAGTCTATATATTTTATGATCAGTTATTAATCAAATTGTTCGGTATGTTTTAATAGTGTCAATCATTCTTGATTCAAGAACAATTGAATGACATAAATAACTGATCACTACCTTAGATCATCAATGATTTATAGATTTCAATGCTAGCTTGTCATAATATCTGTAGTAGCTCAAACTGTTATAAATAAAATCGATTAAATTTGAATTCTCATCAAATTATTTTTTTCATTTTTTGATACTATTACTTATTTTCATTAGATCTTACATAGAACAAAATTATTATAATGCTTTTCATGATATTTTTTTTTAATTATACAATGAATATAGTTTATATTTAATTATTTTAAATCATTTAGGCATTTCGACGATTATCACCAAGTGCTCGAAAAGAATCATCAATAAAATCTGATTCAAAATTTGATGAAACTTCACGAATAGAATCAACAAAAAAAACTTGGCAAATTATTTTTCATACAGAAAATAATTCAAAAGAAAATATTCGAAAACAAAAAAATTATTTATTACAAAATAAATTATTACAATATACATTTTTAGCAAATAATAAAAAAATTGAAACTGAAATGCATGAAATTAATATGAAAGAATTAATGAAAGATTCAGAATCATCAAAACAATATTCATTTTCAACTAAACTTAAAAATATTGGAAAACCTGAACAAATTCGATTAAAAATTCGCACTACAAGTGACGATGATGAAGATGAAGATGAATATGACAATTTTGAATGGTATCTCGATTATGTATGTAAAATATTTTTTTTTGTATGCCTTACTTTATTCAGATTTTCTCTTTCGAAATGCTAATTGGAAACTTCGAGAGAATAAACATCATGTTGTTTAGGAGCACAGACATATTTCATATCGTTCAATGATCATAAATTCTATCTTCTTAAGAACATTGCTCTCTTGAACATTGATTGAATATATATTTATTTGATTTAGATTGAAGTTATTGATCCAGAAACTCAATCGCATTTAAAATTTCCATGTGATGAATGGATTCGTCCATCACAAGAAAAAATTCTTCAACTTTCTCAAGTGCGTTGTTTTTTCTTTTTTAAATATTTTATTTAGAGATGAATGTTAATCAATATAGAACGCTTTAATGGAAAGAACAATTATTTCATAAGCGAAATCAACTTTTCCGAGCTCATGCTTTTTTTTTATGTAAAAAAGTTGATGACATAGGATATTAATTAAAAATCGGCTGATACCTGAAAAACTTTAGGCCTATTCATATGTTAAATATAGTTCTAAATCTAATAACTTTTTCATTTTTCAATACGAAATTGAGATCAGAATCAAAATCTATTTTCTCCCTTTCTGTAAAAATTTCTATTTTTGTATTGTCTTACAAATTGAATGAAAAATCTTACGAGATGTTAATCGAATCATTTCCTTTACGTTAGAATGAAATCTATTGCATTTAGCTATGAGTGGAACGAAAACCGAATAAACATCGTTTTCTCACTTCTCTAATTATGTCAGATAACACTTTAAGATTATTTCAATGGAGAAAATTATTATTATTATTTTTTTTTTTTCTAAATTTTAATAGCGAAGAAGTTCTTCAAGTAGTTCAAGATCATCTTCAAAAGATAAAAAACATTATCAATCTCCAAAAATTGAACGAAAACGAAAAAGTTCTTCAAGTCGTTCAAGATCACCTCCAAATGAAAAGAGTTATCAACAATCTGCAAAATTTGAACGACAACGAAAAACTTCTACGAGTAGATCAAGATCACCTTCAAGTGATAAAAATCGTCAAGAATCTTTAAAAATTGACCAAACAACAAAAATATCTTCACGTTCAAGAAGATCATCGAATTCATCAAAACAATCACAAACTAAAATTGATTCAGTACGTCGAATTTCAGTTGATAATCAATCAAATAAAAGTGAAGAAATAACTCCTCGTAATGATGATACGACTAGTCGAGGTTAATTTAATTATTTTTCAATTTAACAACTTTAATTTTTGTTTTCTATTTTCAGAAAATAAAATTCGTTATCGTGTCATTATTTATTCATCACATTATGATGATGGAGAATTTAATCCAAATCGAGATAGTCAAATGTATTTACGTTTGAATAATCAAATTAAAGAAACAAATATAATAGATAAAACTAAACAATTATGTCCATCATTTGATTCAAATGAAAAACAAGAATTTGAACTTGATTTAATACAAGATATTAATGAACAACCAGAAAAATTAACAATTGGTTATATTAATTCTGATCCTTCAGCAAAAACATGGAAACTTGAAAAGGTTTATTTCTTTTTAAATAAAAATTATTTTTAATTTTAATTTTATTTTAATTTAAAAGATTGTTTTAATTAATGTTAAAACTGGTGATGAAACAATATTTCCATGTAATGAAAGTCTTATTCGAAATGAATCAAATTTTCGTGCAGAACAAACATTTGAAATTCAATTAAAAGAATTAGATGATGAGGGTAAATTAAATTATATTTAAAATAATATATTCATTTCATTTAAATATTTTTCAAATATCATTATATATATTAAAATAGAATATTTTTTTTATTTAATTGAATTAGAATTATTTTCAAGTAGAAAATCTTTTCGAACAAATATATTATATCATTCTTTCTTACAAATTAATCGTTTTTCGACGGGCAATTTTCATCAAATTAATAGAAATGTTCATTTGAATTATAACGGATGATCGGAAAGTTTTTAAACAAAATATTTGTTGACTTGTGATCAGTTAGAAACTAATCCAAATGAATTACAAGATATGAGAATTAAGACTAGAATTTTGTGCACTTTTCAAATATAGGCTTATGCCGGAACTTCTTCGTATGTTCTCTTCTAACTGCAATAATTTTTTCTCTATACATACTAAATAGTGTTCTAATAAAAACTATAAAAGGATTTCACTACACTATCGAATTTTTAATATGTCTATTATAATGAATTCTAGGTTTTCGAAAAATTCGTATTTTTCAATTTTGATCTGAAACTTTGTGCACACAGAATAGTTGCCATAGAAAAATTTAGAAGTTTTTTGAACAAAGTCTTTTCAAGATAGTAAGATTTTCAAATACATATTGAATATACAATTCATAGAAGGCGATCTATATCTTGAAAGTGTCATATGTTGAAGAGAATTTGTTTATAAAAAACAAAAAGGTACCTTTACACCAGAGATGTCCATCGCGCCGCTGCCACTGCCGCCGTGGCGGTGGCGGCGCGGCAGCGGCAGATTTTTTCCAAAAACTATCGCGGCGCGGCAGCGGCGCGGGAGAGATTTTTATTTTGCCGTCGCGGCAGCGGCGCGGCGGCGGCAGCTTTTTAGGAAAAAATTTCAAAAATTCATGAATTTGCACAGAATCTGCATGTTTATGTATGCTATACTGTAAGACTTAGCGAATCTGATCGATTAGCGGCATCAGTTCTATTTCAAACCAGTCAAAGCCTTGAAAATCAAAACATTTTTTCGAATACCAGCGCGGCAGCGGCAGACTTTGAGCCGCGATGGACATCTCTGCTTTACACATATTTGATGAGCATCCATTTTCGACAATAAAATTGTTTTATTTTAATTTTATCTTTTGTATAATTTTTTTATTTTTCATTCAAATACTTGGATTACATATTATTTCTTTGTAAAAACATTATATATAACTCTTCATCATAAGCATAATAACAATAAGAATATTATTTTAGGTACACCAAAAAATCAAAAAATTAAATCTCCAAAATCTGATAATGAAGAAGAAATACAAAGTTCCAAACGGCAACAACAAATAAATAATGATAATAATAAAAATAAAAATAAAGAAAGATCTTCTTCATTTCAAAGTATGAATGATAATGATGCAAATTATAGAACAATTTTTAAACAATTAGATCCAGATAATCAATTAGAATTAGGTTCATCTCGAAATAGTTCTTCACCTTCATCTACAAATCGACAAGATGAAATTAAAAAAAATAATAAAAATCCTATTATTGATCCTCTTGTTGGTCTCGATAATCTTACAGATCAAACACCTCGTTCAAATGATCAACTTAATCACAATTCTTTACCACATACAACAATTGAATCAGGAAAACATCTATTTAAACCTATGTATCCACCTCAGAGTACTGATGATGAAGACGATTAGAAAAAAAAAAGATTCTTTTGCTTTTCTTTGTGATATATTAACAGTTTGTTTTTCTTTTAATTTACAAAATACACACAATGAATGTTACTGTCTCTTTTTTCTTTGATATCTTCTTTCTAGTTTGCTTTTACAAATAAATTCTATATAGAATCATATTGTTGAATTGTTGAATATTCCAGTTACATATGGAGGCATATAACCACGCCACTATTAAAATTAAAAAGAAAACAAAATATTAAGATATAGAAAATAAAATAATATAGATTTTATACTCGATCAATCGACATAAAATAAAATTCATCAGGACAATCATCATATCCTTTAATAAGTGAATTAATCATTGTTTTTGATATACTACGATCAGGTATTATTACATGAATTTCACGACGAATCATATCAATTGAACGAATAAATCCTTTAAAAATATCAGATTGTAAATTCTTAATGTCAGAATACAAATAAAAAAAAACGAGAACGAAAATTTTTTACCAAATCCAAGACATTCAACATTTGCATGTTCATCAATTAATGCTGGAAATGAACTTGACGTATGATATAACTAAAATTCATAGGAACAATATATTTTTATAATAAATTATTTAAATTTAAATTTGAAATTTCTTTTTATTGTACAAAAGAAACAGTTTAATTTATCAACTAAGGGCTCAGAAAAGCAAATATTCATTAAATTAGAATAATTTTCATTACTCCGGCTATAGTTTCATCGTTGCCCAAAGGTTAGATTCGAACTCAAAATTTTCATATTTTTCCAATTCAATCATATAAACACTAATAAAAAAAAGAAATATTATATATTACCATTGTATGATTAACTTTACATAAAGCAACAATTGATCCATTTAATACTTGTAATAAATATTTAGCTTCAATTTGTCTATGTAATAAACCAATACCAATTTTTTCAAATTGTAAAATTTCAATATAATTAATATAATCAATTAATGGTTTAAGAATTAATTGTTTTGTTTCAATTTGAGAAAAATATGACCAAATACATGATTGACGTGTTAAATTTGATTTTTTATAATTATATTGACGTATAGGTGTTAATAATAGATTATAATCATAATTATTATATGAATAATTTAATGATATATTATTTATTTGACGATATATATTTGATATTGATGCATTTAATGACCATTGTGGATTAATATCAGGCATTATATGACGAAAATATGGACTAGATGAACGTAATTGTATTAGATTAGTTGGTTTAATAAGATCAATTAATTCTTTCATTATAATAAGACCTGTATCTAAAAAACAAAAAATAATCTTTTGAAATTTTAGTTTTCGTTTTTTTTTGAAAAATAAAAACCTGATCCCCATCCCATTGTATTAACAAGTAATATATCATGTTGATAACTTTTAATATAATCATAAGATAATTTAACATAATTTAAATAATTAAGTATTTTATCATTTTCAACTTTAATATTACCAAAATAAAATGATTTTAATGGTTTTTTTAAATGTGATGCTGATGGACCAAATAATGGTTCAGTTATATTATTTATTAATGATATTGAACCACTTGGAGTAAATTCACTTTGACCTATATCACAATCTAAAAATGTTATTTTAGGATGAATATTTATTTGTGATAAACATTTATTTATTAAATAACGTAAATATGTTGATTTGCCAGAATCTTTTGCACCACAAACAAATATAATTAATGGATTATTAATTGTTCGATTTAATAGACGAGATATTATTTCATCTGTTTTTGAACAAATTTCATTTGAATAAAAAATTGAATGATACTAAATTAAATAGAACATTTTTTCAATATTTTAATTATATGTTGTTGTTGTTGTTTTTTTTCTGAAATATTATTACTTAAAAAGATTCGACTTCACACACTATCTTTGTTAAATTATTATCATTTTTCTATATTTTCTTCCTCAGATTAGGTATATTTATATAAAAATTCAGTTATAAAACTTTGTGTGAGATAGATTTTATAGTTACTAGAATGTTCAGCCTAAAAGAATATTTTCTTCTTGAGATATTACATGTTGAAGAGAATTAATGTTGTTGAACTTTTCTTATGACACATATCGTTTTTGTTTTTTTTTTGGATATTCAAATCCTCAAGAACAAAACATTCTTTTAGACTGAAGTTTTTAGAACATTCTAGTGACCATAAAATCGACCTAAGAGCAATTGAATTTGTTAAAATATGCCTTGTCTGAGATAGAAAATCGGTTGTAACTGAAGAAAGACAGCATATGTAGATGAACTCTTTTAGACTTCTTCTAGTCTCACTAAAACCTACTTATGAACAAAATTAACTCTTTACCCCCCAGTGGGTCATATCTGACCCATTTGTAGAACGATCACAGAAAATAACGACAGCATGAGACTGAAAAACTCTCAAGACATTATTTGTAGGGAATTTCACAAGGTATCAATTGGTAAAAAAAAATATTTTGTTTCATTGTTCTGCCTTCGAGATGTATGATTTACAAAATCAAAAATTTTGAAAAAAATGCAAAAATTCGAAATTTTTTAAACAAAATGTTTTCCACTTGCAGTCGATAGAGATCTTTTGGAATTTCCGAATTATTATACATACTAAGGAATAGAATTGACCATGTTGTCACTGTTAGACAGATGAAGGGTAATCAAGAACAAAGTTAATATATACGTTATAGATCTCAACTCATGAGAAGTCGAAATAGTATCTATGATGAATTAAATTTCTTTAGGCGTTACAAAATGGCTCAGAGTAAAATAGACTTAAGTTTGACAATAGGTGTAAAAAAAAATCATGCATTTTCTTTTATGTTAATTTTTATCGGTTCACTCGTTGCGTTTTTCCTATCATTTCAACAGTACAAGATAGATGCTGCTTCTGTCGAGTCAATAATGTGGTCAAAGAAAAAAAAATTAAGTCTTATGATGTCATATAATTCTCATTTTCCACCACATGATTTTTATATCAATCAAACCGCCCTACTCCAGAACCAGGACATTCGGTGAATTAGGCCACACCATTGGCATATTTGACAGGCTAATACTCTATTTATAAAGTTATTTTATCAGTGGCTCTTATGGAACCGCTATGGGGGATAAAATATTAACATTTGATCGGCATGCGTCCACACTTCGACATCTTCCCTTACCAAATATCTCTTCAATTCCTGTAAAAATTCTTCAGTAAATGCGAAGAATGGTGACCTATTTTTACAGCTTTTTACTCTCTCAATAAGGAAAATTTGTTAATCATTGATTTAAAAAAAGAAACAAAATAAGTAAATGCAAGTGTTTTATAATTATTCTCCTAAAACAACTGATTTTTTTTGACGCTTAGCACTTAATTAGCATTAATATGAAACTATAATACTCAAATAATCAATGTAGTATTTGATATGAAAATCTTACATAACTATCATTGAAAGCTCCCAATCCAGGCCATAATTGTTTAAAACCATGTGTATTTTCACCTTGTTCATCATTATCATCATCATCATCATCATTATCTTTATTATTATAATTAAATAACCATTGATTTGAAAGATTAGTATTATTAAATTCTTTCATTGATTCTATCCATGTTGTTTCAAGTTGTTCAATAAAAAAAACTGATAAACCATGATGAAATTTTGCTAATTTTTGAATAAATTCAATATAAATTTCAGGTAATGGTAAATCAATATGATAATCATTAAAAAATGAAAGAATTTGATTTTCATGAAGTAAACTTCTTGAAAAATATGATGCTGTTTCAATAGACATTAATGATTGTGATGAAAAATTATATATTGAATAAGATTTTAATAATTGAAGATTAAAACCATGAAGTATTGCCGATGGACCATATATTTGTATTAATGAAAAAATACCAAGTAAACTTATACGAGATGATCGAGGAGAAAATATTAAAGCACGACGTAATTTTGAATTAACAAAACAAAGACTAAATAATTGTTTTTTTTTTTTTGAATTTAAATAACAAAAAAAAAAATAAAAACATACTTATATTTACTATTTGTTAATTCATCATCATTTAAATGATTTTCATGTTCATCATTTGTAATAATATATAAAATAGTATTTTTTCTTTCTTCTTCTTCTTGATCATTATAATTAAAATTTAATTTTTTTTTAATTTTATTTATTTTTCGTTTTCGTTTTTTATTTCGTTGTTTTTTTTTATTATTTATTAATAATGTTAAATTATTTTCATCTAATCGTTTGATGTCTTTTTTTAATTTATTTTTCTTTTTTCTTGGTGATGTACGTAATTGAACAGGAGGACGAAAATCTCGTAATAGAAATTTTCCAACTGATGTTTCAACAATAACTGGTGTTTCTTTGGATTTTTTCATCTAAAATTACTTTTTTTTTTATATTATACAAAAAAATAAAAAATAGAAAATTTTATTTGTCAAACTTATTAAATTGAACATAATTTTTGTAGTTTTACTTCTCGATGATATGAACTAGACAAGTATATATCAAGATCTATCATAAATATCGAGTTTTTGACGTGTATTGTAGGTTTTTTTGGAAATAATAAATTCGTATCCATGATCTAGATTGTCTAATAATGTTAACGATACATATGCAAAAAGAAGTATTTGGATAATAAATTGATCTGTGTATATTTTTCTTTTGAGGATTGAACATATCAACAATGATATGAAATTACAACTAAAAATCTCTAAATTATTAAAAAAAAAAAACAACTAATTTCAATCCACTGTTTTTTTGTATATTTACATAATCAAGTAAAATTGTATCATTTGGCATGTTCAAAGTAAAATTTCTCATTTAAATAAAAATTTCAAGAAAATAATCGATTGAATTACGTTTTTTTTTTTTTTATACAAAAATGAACTAATAATTTACCATATTTTCCTTTAATTAATAATTTGCTTGATTATTTAATATGTATGTTATCAGATTGTAATGAAACATTACAGATCATAATATCAAATAGTATAGAAGAGAAAGTTAGATTAATA